ATAAATTGTAAATATTAAAAAATAAAAATACGAGTTAATAAATAATAAATAAATAGGCATAAATGAAGTATAAATGAAATGAAATAAAATAAATGTTATTGGCAAAATTCATGCATGCAACACGATGACCCTGAATTTTTGAAATTTTCATTTTCTTTCTCATTCTTTCTTCATTCTCGAGAACTGGGCGACAACTCAGATTAGGAGGTGTTAGAGTGAGAGAGAATCAGAAGTGACAACTTCTACTGGCTAATAAGATGTGATAAAAAAAGATAAAGCGTGGTGTTGATCAATACTTTTTGGAATGCGCCACGTATTGTACTTTCATTCAGGATCGTAGTGGCATTTTGAATGCGATGTAGCCCATGCATTAAAGCAACAGTCCCAGCAGGTTTTACCTTCGACACTAATGGTGTGGAACGATGCGCTAGCCCTAGTCAAGAACATAAAAAAGTGTGACTGAACAAAAAACTCACCTTGGAAAGCCGCTAGAAAGGGAGCTGAACAGCTTCGAAGTGGGCGTGGTTGAATCGGCGAGGGGATTGCAGCCGATTGCAACCACGCCCACTTCGAAGCCTGTTCAGCTCCCTTTCTAGCGGCTTTCCAAGGTGAGTTTTTTGTTCAGTCACACTTCTTATGTTCTTGACTAGGGCTAGCGCATCGTTCCACACCATTAGTGTCGAAGGTAAAAACCCTGCTGGGACTTCACCTTCGACACTAATGGTGGTTTAACGTGCGGGGTCAGCGAATGTACAAGTCAGTATTCTTTATCCTTCCAGACCAGCCTGCTACCAATTATGCGACCTCGGTAGGATGAAAGGCTTGGTTGGCGAAGACGGCGCCCGGTCCAGGGATCAAATCCTCGATTGTGCGCTGTTCACGCCAACAACCTGCAATCCACAGGCTTTGGTTCCTTGGTGGCACACATGGCTGGATGAAAATTATACATTGGCTGGCCTTTAACGCCGCTTGCCACTTACCATTTCCACCTGAAATGTGGGCAGAAAGAGAGCGAGTAGTGTACAAAGGTGTTAATACCATATGTGTAAGTTGAGCACATATGCGCTTTGGTTCCCTTTAATATTTAAAAACCGTAGGGGAATACTTTTTCGAAAAAATACTCTTCAACATCTATGGGTAACCCTCAAAGGGTCTACCTCCCCCATTTGACTGTCGTTGATACGCACCGCTTTGCTCCTTGAACATTCCCCTATAAAATACGTGGGCGATGCTCTTGTACGTAATCGTCCCATTAACAATTGTTGGCCTTCATTAAATGTCTGCGCGTCTCGTTTGCCACCCTCCTATCCAAACTACCACGTTGTTTCGCGCTTTTGTTTGATTACGTTGTTGTCGAGTGGGTCGTCTTGTCGTAGAGCACCGCCGCCGCCGTTTTCCAGGGAGGTCTCAACGATTATTTTCCTCCAATTCATCTGCCTATTGACTGATACCAACTCACGGCTCTATTGGTTGTATTTTCCGGGAATGGAACTCTATCGCCTGTTTCTATAGCGATTCTTCATTTCCTGATCAATAGCTTATGTGGGCATTGAAGAATTACCAATATTGAATTGTCACATTCTCTATCACATGTTGTGTATAAATCATTGGTGAAATCCTTATATGTTCAGGATGCGTTCTCGTTGTCATATATTGCAACATTTTGTACTTCTAGTTAGCAGGAACGATTTTTATTTGAGCTGAATGTGAAGTGGGGACGAGGGGCGACGGACTATACAATCGTCGGCTAATGAGGTCACGCCGCTCACGCGGCGAGAATCGTCGCGTGCGGCAGTTGCTGCGGCGATTTCTGTGTGGACCTTTTCTTATCCATCCATGCCCATAAGTTGGCTAGGTGACTGATAACACCAGAGTGCTGGACATCAGTAAGCCAGCAAGCGTCACTGTAAGATCCCTGCAGTGATTTAAGCCTCGCAGTACAAACTTTGTACCGTGTAAAGGTTGTCCTTTTGGATTTAATTTGACTTCTTTATTAATCAGTTTCCTGAATTTCTATCAGAGAGTGATAATCTGGTTCAATCGGAAAGAATATTGCGTATCAAGACACAGAGTAGCGGCGAGGAAGGCTCTAACATAAGCATGATATGATAAGTATGTAATAATGGCGAGCGAAAACGAAACTGCATTTTAAAGGGTAAGGTGGTTCCTATTTCATGTTTCATTACTGGAAACTTAATCTAATCTTACATTCTCCAATGTTTGAATGCTGAGCTCTTTGCAAATTCGCCGCGATATTGCTGGCTGCGGCGGCCGGCGCGGCGACCTACTTACTGCGACGATTGTATAAGCACGCAGCCGGGAAAAGAATTGTTGATGTGTAAATAACTTTTGAAGTGGAGAAGGTGTTGCGTCAGCATGCCACGAACACTCGCCATAATTCGTAATGTGGGAGCAAGGTGAGATTTATGGAAGCTCAAGCCCCTACATATTGACAGTACTCAAACCTACACTCAGTAGGGGCATACTAGTCTAGCAATCGACTTTTGCATGCTGCACCCTATGCTTTGTAATGCTTCACAAATTCTCATGATGCAACATGCATGTCGCTCGAGAAAAGTTTTGGCGTACGCCGGATACGGAGTGTTCTTCTCAGTAATTACGTATACTGCAGGGAGCTTGACCTTGGGAAACTGAATGGTTGCTCAGAGCATTCTGGAGTCTCTTCCTCTTTCTTTCGAGCCTCAGTTTAACAAAAGTGTGAATTTGCATTAGGTTTATATACACGCCGCTATCAATGCCCCCCGTATCCGTATCTCGTCGATATGCTCCGTTTTACTGCGTGTGGAGTTCGCTATGGGTTCTCATTAAAACTCATCTATCAAATCAGAAAACAGTCACGGTCCCTTCTAACACAGTCGAGAACGCAGCTTCTGTAATGGACCTAAGTGGAGCAGAATGATAGAGTTGGGAGGGTGGGTGTTGCGAAATGGTGATGTGGAAGAGGCTGGTATCAAAATGGGATCACATGCGGTCGATCTCATGCCGACTGTTTGCGTTACTTCTTTCACAGAGCTGATTCAGCCCATTTCCTGTGAAAAATTCCACGAAATTTCTTTGCATCCTTATCGCAACTCCACGTCATTTCTCGATTTTTCTGCAACTCTCAGCTGATCTGACGCGATTGTCCTGAAAAGGATTGCTCTTAATAGGAAAACAACAGCCTTCGAAGCTTGCAGACTTCTTTTCTAAGGTATATATAAGGTTCTTCAAAAGCAAAGTGTAAGTATAAGTTTATTACTCGTGCAAAAGGTACACGTGAAAAATAACAACTAAAGTATCTCTATGCATACAGAGAAGGGTGTCTTATAAAAAAAAGGTCCAAACACAAAATGTAAAGATGTGATGAGTTTGGCATGGTTTCAATACGTCAGCGATGCTGAGATGAATGAGTGCTTATCTGTTTACCGACAGGTCCGCTGGTGGGTCCCTAGACGCTGTCAGGGATGTGTAAATCTTGGCTAAGCCGTCCCTATCCATGCATCGGAACAGATGGCGTGAATATGCAATCAGTCCTCGAACAGTTTGTCTTCCCTCGTACCCATTCTGTTCAGTTCCATATTTGGAAACTCCGATAGATCTCTTCTTTGTTACCATTTTTCAGTGGGGATTTCAAGTTGTTCCTAAGCTTAATGCCTTTTGAATAGTTCTTCGTTAATAATCTCATTTGTCTGTTATATTTTCTGTTAGATTTGGTTCTTTCAATTTTGCTGATTCTATGAAAACGCCTTGATAATTTGTAAATTTCCTGATAAGTTTTTTTTTCTCTGGAGAAGACATTCTTGAGAAGTGCAGGACGTCCACTCAGAATGGTGGAGCGATAAAAGGATAAAGCATTTGACGTTGATTCTCCTTTTTTGAGAATTTGAGGATGGTTTGAGGATGCGCCATGTATTCTACCTCGAGTAAGAATGGTGGTAGCATTTGAATGCGGCTTGGCTAATGTATCATGGCTTTCGGTGAAAGCTGATGTGCGTATCGCTGTCTCCATCTCTCTGACGAGCCCGGTACCAAGTAAGCGATCCCGGAGAAACGAATTGCTTGGTAGGCTTGGGCGAGATTCGATCGAGGTTAGGCATTGGGCCATGTGCGTGGGAATTGGCCCCATGGCCGCTGCGCTATCTCTGCTTTCCTGAAATCAGCTCTGATGGGAATTCCAAGGAACATATTTGATTTTTTGAAGAAATAGGCGTTTTTCAGGTTCCTTTGTTTCCTAGTGTCCACACGAGTTATGCGTTTTATAAACTGGTGATTTGAGCTCGAGCACGCGCAGTTATCGTGGGCACTACCTCTGGGAACACCTCCACGATTGCGCGCGTTTTTTTTGTCTTTTTTTTGCGTGCGAGGGTCAGGCGCGATTTGGTGAGCGTGACCGAGGAAAATAGAAAACCTAAGGTAAACACTTCTCTATATTCCTATTTTGGTGCTCCTAGTTGGGTACAAATATGGTCTAAACAATAAACTAATTCTCTGGTGAAGAGAAAGAAAAAATGCAGAGAAAAATGAGTAGCCGGGTGTGGTACCACAGGGTACCATGCCGTCCCACCTACCGGCAAGCCGTGGTACCCTGCGGTACCAATGGTATAGTGCTAATTCACGTGCAGTAGGAAAATAAATATATCACTCCGGTAAGCTTATTCGCTAGCCGTTCTGGCATTGTAGAGCTTTTTGGACCGTAATAGCCCGCTAACTCTGGAGTTTTGCTGTTTTCTGCTTTTTTCTTTGGATGAGCACACGATGAGCTGGCTCGCGTTCTGCAGCAGTGCTACTCTCTATCACCATGTTTCTGTCTTTCTAGAGACTTATTACTTCAAAATCTTGCTATTAATCCAACCCATGGTTGGATCCTAAAGTTTTTTTGCTCGTTCATGCTTTCGTTTTTCGGCTTGGCTTATTCTTTTCTCTCTCTCTCGCTCTCTTCCTCCTATTATTCTTTTACTTTATTACTCTTGTTGCTACAGTCTTCTTGTTGACGCGCCTCTATTGCAATACATAAATGAATAAATAGAATGCTGCGAAAAGGGCGGTGGTGGCGGAAGTAAGCAAACCAGCCCTTTTGGCGTTTCTGCTGGGGCCGTATGCTGAATGTTGGGGAGGGGATGGGTCTCCGACGGTCGACGGACTACTTCAACTCGGTCCTAAAACCGCCTCAATTTGATGCTTACCTCAGGACTAAGCCTTAAAGGTCCGTAGGGTCCGTCCTCTCTCCAAGCTTAGTCCTGGGGTAAGCAAACTAGCCACAATATATGGACGGAGCTCTGCACCTAGCTTGCGACGAGCGTGGTGGCTTCGGTGTGCGTGCGGGATAGTGTGGACGACCGAGGGGTCGAGTGGGGGGGCGACTTCGGCGACCCCATCCCTCCCAAAATGTCATCACGGCCCAGGCCCAGAAATGGGGCGGAAGGGGGGCTGCTGGCTTGCTTACCTCGTGGTGGCGTAGCGGCAAGTGACGCCGCTTTTTTGAAGAGCCGCAGGTCATTTCGTGACAGCTGAAATGACGCCAGCCTACAGTATTGTCTATCTAAATCTCCACGTCCTCACGTGGGTAAATGACGTCTGAATTACGTGATGGGAACAAAAGCTATTGGACTGTTTGTTTCCGGACCGATTTACTACTGTGTAAACTTTCAATTGAAATCATCATTAAAAGATAAAGGATAAAGCATTTGCCGTTGATCAATCCCTTTTGGGATGCGGCACGCATTCTACTTCCATTTGTACATTCGTAGTGGCGTTTGAATGCGATGTGGCCTATACAATGACTTGCGGGGGCCAGCCGATGTACAAGTCAGTGTTTTTATCCTCCCAGACAAGTCTGGTACCAATTAACCGACCCCGGAGGGATGGAAGGCTTGGTTGGCCCGGACTCACGACCCAGGATTTGATCCCCGGACCGCTCGCGTGGTAAGCGTGCCACTTGCCACTACACCACTTCCGCCCATCATTAATCGGAGTTTTTTTACTCATTTTTTTCAATTTTTTCCACTTTCGAATGATCCCAGTCATACTTGCTTGTTGCCGCTATTCACTTCGTTTATAGTCCCTCTGTTCATCTTCGCTCGTTATGATTTTCGAAGAAGCACGAGAGCTCCGAAATGTGTGCCAACAGCTGCCACGGTGATGGTGACTGGATATCGCTGCCTTCAACCGGCGTTTCACCACATCAGATCCGCCCGATACGATGTATACACAGCAGAGAGGAATGGGTCTACGAGGTTCTGTCTGGAGCCAGCCATGCGGAAAACACAGCCAGAAAATAGGTCTGTGAGGAAACCTCGTTAAGGCTCTTACTGAGGAGGAAGTTGGCTCCTTCTGTTTGAACCTCTACCGATGAATCTTCTTTTCAGCTAACCCTAGCCGCTGTTGATAACTTGTGATCTTGTCTGCTAAACGGAGTGTATACGATTTGGGTCTATTCCAGTTTAGGGGGCATCATGGTGCGGTGACTCCCAAAAAGCTACGGTAACTCTGAGCCAGGGGGAGTGTAGCCAGCCTAGGGGGTGGGGGTGAGGGCAGTCACTTGACATGCGTGAGAAGCTGGAATGTTCGAGTTTACATTAGCTCGCCGAGAAACTGCATCATGATGCCCCCCCCCCGTAACTGGAATAGACCGCAGAGGTGTCTGGTAGTGCCGGGCGGGCCCGTATAATATTGGTCTTTTTATTGTTTGCACTTTCAGACATTTACTGCCTGGTGTAATTCGCATTTGAGAAAAGCTGGTACAAGCATTGAGCTCATCGAGGAGGACTTCAGAAATGGTTAGTTTAACACTTACTGAACATTGCTGACCAAATTTTCACATACGCGCTTACGAAAGGAAAATAGGACAATCAATATTTCGTATATAATATTAAGAGCTATGCTAGAAATAAAGGATAAAGGATAAAGCATTTGCCGTTGATCAATCCCTTTTGGGATGCGGCACGCATTCTACTTCCATTTGTACATTCGTAGTGGCGTTTGAATGCGATGTGGCCTATACAATGACTTGCGGGGGCCAGCCGATGTACAAGTCAGTGTTTTTATCCTCCCAGACAAGTCTGGTACCAATTAACCGACCCCGGAGGGATGGAAGGCTTGGTTGGCCCGGGCGACTCACGACCCAGGATTTGATCCCCTACCGCGTGCCACTTGCCAGCTACACCACTGCTGCCCTTACGCTAGATATCCATAATGTATCTCTTCTTTCTGCACAGGGCAGGTAGCAGGGGAAGGGGTAGCCGGTCACACGTGGTTGTGGACGTTTGAAGTGTAAGGTTACCTTAGTACACGTACAAGCTCGCGTTGCGGAAACCGCCATCAGAGAGCAAACATCTAGCATTGGTCGGTCTCTTTTCGAGGGTGCGACACGCACTCCACTTCCATTCAAAATCGTAGTGGGATCTTGTATGCGATTGGGTCTATGCAATTATTTACGAGGTCGGCCAGTGTAGTGATGTCAGCTTCCAGACGAGTCTGCTACAACTATCCGACCCCGGTCGGATAGAAGGCTTGGCGGGCCTCGATGGCGCATAGTCCAAGATTTGATCCTGTGCGCCCCTTCTCACTCACTACATCTTTTCCACTTTAATCCGCCATAGAGGTTACATTTATCTCGTTTTGCTTGAAGCTCTTATCAAAGCAGCCTGTGGCTCATCAAGGCCACGGGGCTAGATGCCAAGAAGTAGCCCTTTCAG